TTTTCTTTTTTCTAGGTCGCCATGACGATATCATGGTTTATGCAGAAAGCTGCACGCATATTCACGCATAGCAAGTTCAACATATAAATAAGAGCTAATTAATTTTTAGTGATTTTAATAATGACTAATTTACTTTCTTAAGTCTTTCTATTATATGACGTATTACAAATCATACCACCTTATATGCGTTATTTGCTTGTACTTATTTATTTATAATACTACAGATTATTTCAGCATGAATTATAAATAATGTTATAATATATTATCAAAGTTATCATTTAACAAAAAAATGTACAATAGTTTACAATTTTCATACATTCTGTTTTTTAAAATAAATTTTATTTTTTGTTATATATTTTGCAGTTTTAATTTTATAATATTTTACAAAATACATACAATTTTTGAACTTTTTATATTTTATATTATTCTTTTATACTTTCAAATACCTACACAATTTATTAATAATATAACATAAAAAACATTTTTTAACAGCATATTTGGTTGTATGGCTCTAATTCCTCTCTAAATCTAACAAAAAATGCAAAGATGGTAGTTTATTACTTTTAGATTGATAAATAATTGTCAAAATAACAGTTTGATACGCTAAATTGCTTTTCAATCTGTTGTTTGGATATTTCTTTGTCATACCTAAAGTAATAAACATCTCCTGTGCTTTTTTTGTGGTTTTCAGAGAGATTTAAGAGCACTTCAGCCAATAATGCCAAAATTAAATTCAAATCTCCTGCCACTCTCTCATTTAAATTACCCGCCTTTTGTGCTACGTAGGCAATACAGATACCTCCTTTACCGACTAAATCTGACATGTTTCCATTAGTTCAGTTAGGGCTCAAGGGTGCGCTACAATCGATCCTCGTTAAACGTGTTGCCTACTTTTGACTATGGAAATGACAACTCTTTTATTTTATATTTCTCTATGGTGGGGACTACGCGGTTCTTTTACATTATGCAATTTTCTCTCCGTGCGACGTCCAACACACGGCCGTCACACGGTGCGGACGCGGTGCGGATATGTGTGTCCCGACCTTTATCCGTTGTAACAGTCAAATTTCCTCGCAACGACCTCTGTGTGCTAGCTCATAAATTAACGCAAATAGCTATTATTTTTGCATCATGTTAGTATAATTTTATTGTTAAATATTATTTTATTTAAATTTTACAATTATGCAACCCGATATACCCGCGATATTATACATATATTGTCACTGATGCCGACCAGCAGTAGGCTTTTTGTCCATCTCTCTATATCTTTGATCATCACCTCCGTCACTTGTCACTGTCAGATCAAATCAGATGTTTTTGGATTTATTTATCCTTTGTTTTGGTTATTGAAATTTTATAATTATCAGATAAAATTTCGTACTTAAATTGGTTATTTTTGATGTGGATCGCAGTGTGCAATTCGTTCATTTAATTGTCGAATTTCTGAGTTTAGTTCGTTCATTGACCGGATATGGAATATGGCTGAGGAGAAAACATCATTTTTTATTTATGCCTTTTTGTGAGTTGGACTAGTCAAGATATATAGTTCTCTATCTATATCCTGGAGGGAGATTTCCGGTTGAAATCTGATTTTGTGAAGGAAATCGAATCCTTGCATCACTTCTTGTGTACTCCCCGGCTGAAGAGTGTCGTCGTGAAGAACTGGCTGCCGTTTCGTGAAGCATTCCCTGTTGGTGAATAGCAGGTCTTCGTAAAGAAGGATTAAGGCTTCCGAAACACATTTGGTCAGAGACGTGGTTGGATTTTGTTGAGTTTACATGGACCACCGACCAATTTCCATAAGGGATTAAATAGCCATGTTTTTCCGATCGATATCCCGATTCCACGTGCCCAAGAAGTCCCCGAATAGTTCCAAAGTATGCTATAATTCTTCTGCCTATTCTAAGTCAATGCTCAACTGATTTTTATTCATATTGTTGACTGGTTTTCGACTTTTCCACGCCCACGTGGTGTAGAAAGATTAGTTGAGTGGTATCTTTCTTAAGTCTTATTTGGTTGTTCGTAATTGTAGAGCAAGAAGACCGATCCAGACCGTAGTACAGAACAGTCCAGAATTCCATCCGTTCCTGTTGCCCGTGTGTAGAGTTACCCGTTGGACATCATAAACCCTCGTTGAGGTAAAGTTCAGATTTGATTAGTCCTTCTTTATTACCTGTATTAACTCCTACACGTTGTGCTAGTCCTTGTTCTATAATTGAGGCTTTTTTCTAAGACAACCAATGTTATTTAGGGTTTTTTATGTCACCTGTTGAAGTCCTACACCTGCCTGGTGTCTGTACGTTTGCTGACGGGCTCCAGTGACAGTACATCGAGCTGCTGTAGCCTGCTGTAGCTACCCCATTGCTATACACCGAAACTCAGCCGGAGGAACTTCCGAGTAGTTTTCAAGTTCTTGTCAAGACATTACACTGTAGAGTAAGATCGTTTAGATATTAGTTAGATTTAGTTTGATATTTGTATTCCGCCCTTAGAGCATACTTAGTTTAAGTTAAGGGGGATGACGTCATAGATTTAGTTTTTATTGATTTAAATTCTGACTTAAAATATTTCAATCAGTTACATTTCATTCATTTCTTTAAATATTAACTTTTAATATTTTAATAAATTGCTTAAATATTTTTAGTAGTATTATTTACAGTCTAGTCTCATAGTTAAGTTAGAGTCACTTAAGTTTAAATAATTATAGTAACATTTGAAGTTCATGGTAGTTACACTCAACAGATCGAAGTTAGTGTTGAAGTCTACTTAATAGTAACATCTTTTATGCCGAGTTCATAGAGTATAATCTCGTGGCGCCCTTTTATTAATATCTTTGAACCCCGACCACCCGGCTATTAAAATTAAAAAGCTAGTGGCCTCTATGCAACTCATTACCGATTAAGTAAACTTGTGTTTTATTGAACTTCAAATTAGAAAGGGCGTGGCACCGTTAAGTATATAATAATACGACCGTTAGTGTAAGTAAGTATCCGAGTGATAAAATTCTACTACATTCATTAATTTGTACTCTCTCTGATGGAGTGAATGACGTATCGCTTGCTTGCGACTCGATTATCGAAATTCTAGTGGAGTGCTTTAAGCCCTTATGAGATACAAACCTCGGAATTCATTTACTGTGAACGAATTTTTATAAAACTTTTTGCATTGTATTGTTAATAAGATATATTACAAAGTTTACCAATTTAAATTCGTTGCTTTCACTTTAGTATTTAAATAAACACACACATATACAAATGCATACATACAAGATGGCTCCGTTTTCCGGAAAAGCTCTGTATCAGGATTCCTATTTGAGATTTTCACTCCAAATCTTTTACAAAATATATGTTTGATGGTAGTTCACATTTCAAAAATATTTTTATAGATATACAGGGTGAGTCAAATATATATCATTTATTTATTCGAGTTTAGTGAATTTCCTATAAAATTATGGTTCCAAAAATACCTTAATACCATAGAGTATATTAAATGGTCTTTGAATTATGACCACGTCAATATAGACGTCCAGGAACTTTCGTATGAGAACTTCTAATCGAGACGATCGACTTATTGTAAGTTTATCGCTAAGAAACCGCCGTTTGCCAGCTTCAAATTGATAATGAATTGCACTTAATACGTACATATTAACTAACGGACTAAAAGAAGAAGATTAAATGAAGCAAATCTTATGTCAAGAAGGCTTGCTTCGGAACCAGAACTTACTAGATATGTTGACTAGGCCTAAAAGCAAAGGCATGGTCTTAATGTAAAAATTACGAAAAATGTTAGTGCCTTCTTTAAAACCGAATATTTCCAACAAAAATAAAGCTAATGAGATGAACCAAAAAACAAACCATCGGGAAAGAATGTATCTAGATGATAAATTAATTTTTAAATTTCTTGCTATTTTAACATATTTCACAGGGTGTTTCAAGCTTTCATAAAAAAATATCAACATTTTGTTTTCCCTCGTCTAATTAACAGATGGGGAGTTTCATTTTTAATTTAGAAAATGATATTAAGAAGTCAAATAATTTGGTAAGACACTAAAATAAAATATATTGATCTTTAAAATACATGGTGCCCATTTTTCGTGCCAGTGAATGTATTTTAAAAACTATACATTTTAGTCATATACTTTTCTAATGAAACAAACCTTTATTTTTTTACTAGAATCCGAAAATCAATTAATATATAGGGTCTTCTATTACAAAAAACATAACTTTGATGCGTAACTTTTTTTGGGGACACCCTGTAGAACTCTACATAATTTTAGAAAATACTTTAAATTGACTTACATAAGCTCAGAAAATTTCACTTCAATATAAACTTTTGTTCTCCTTGCAAAAACCGCGTCGTTTATGACGCGCCACCCTGTATAATTCGATTTCAATCAAAATTTCAATGATTAGAATATAAGCAGAATAGGTATAGCTTATGCATTAGATTTATTTATTTCGATAAATTTACTTAGAAAAAGAATTAAAAAAATCAAAATGTTAAGAAGGAAGTAATTAAGAATTTACTAAAATTACTAAAATAAAAAATTAAAAGCAACGAAAAAAAATGGGTAAACATTTTGGTATCTTATCTATAAAACACAATACAGAAGGTTAATCTATAATACACATTAATACATTGACAGTAATTGAATTCCGAGGTAAAAGTCTCTGGGTACTCCACTATTCATCGGTTTTTCCAATCCAGGATCAATTATTTTTCTGAGTCGACCATTAAGCTTAACCTTGATGACTTCGTGAGGTAATAGGAGTTGTAGGGACACGCACCAGACCTTTGATCGGTGCTTTGCATGGGACAAGTTTTTCTAGAATTGTAGAGAGGAAGTAGGAGCACGAAGCTAAGGAGTCTACCCGGGAGTCACGCATTACGACTTTCGCCAACATTTAGAAGTATCTCGTCGACGAACTTCGCGAATAGCGTAGTGAGAGTTTTAGATTAGATAACAACTATTGCATTGTTATCTAATATATTACATTTACCTGTTCTACTGCATTTTCAGAATGTCCAATTCCAAGACTATTAATTGCACTGTCTAAATTTTCTAATTCCACGTTAACAAGACTTTCGTTTTTATCGATAGATATGTCTTCATAACGCTTCTTTTTAGGGGAATTCTTAAGTTTATTTTCAGGAACATTGTTATTGTTATTTGCATTATTATTTTCCATGACTAGTCCCTGAACTCTGTCAAATTCTGTATCATCTTTTCCTGCATTTATGTTTGATTCAAAGCCTTGTAATAATAGATAGAAGTTAGTTGTTTTAATATGTTTAAAATGTACAGGGTATGTCAGAACTAAAATCCATACCAAAGCTATATTTTTTCTTATGGAACACCCGATATTTTATTTCTTATTTGGACCCTTGGACATGAAATAAGGCATTTATTATAAGGGTTAAATATGTTTACAAGCTTTAGTTTTTGAGATATTTAAAGATATTTAAATATGCATGCTACTATATGAACTAAATATGGTTGCCATTTTATTGATAAATGGCTTTTTATTAAAAAATTCTGCTTCGATTTATTTAAAAAAATGCGAGGTGTTGCATTTGAAATAACAATTCTTATGTAAAATAATTATTAAATATTTAAAATAGATTAGCAATTTTTGGCACCCCACTATAAATTTAAGGAAGCAATAAAATTTTTCAGTAAAGTTTATTTCTCTACCTTTAAACTCAGCACAATAATTAATTCTAAAAGGTAATGTACAGGGTGGGTAAAATTCGACGCTTTTAAATGGAAACACCCTTTTCTATAGGAGATAGACGAAAACTAATATCGGTGTCTGGAGCTCAATTTTCATCAAAAACATGATGGTGAAAACCGCACATCAATATCTGTTACCGTTTCGGAGTTACGGGGTGTTTTTCAAAAATGTGCATTTTTAACAAATCGCGGTAACTTTTTTGCTATCGAAAATTTTGTATTTCTATTAAAACATTTCCAAAGCACCTTTTTACCCAGAATTTAATGGTTTAAGTATAATTTTTTAAAAATTAATAATTTAAGAGTTATCAACAGAAAATTTGATTTTTTATATGGGACACCCTGTATATTTTTAATTTATTGAAAATGATTTAAAATTACCATTCCAAAATTATAGCACACTTGATATTTTGCTCGATTCCTCTTCGAAATATAGAGTATATAAAAATTCGCCCGCTTTAAATAAGTAGGCTTTGAATGGCACCGGCTGTAATGCAAAAAAATTCTAGCTGTGAGCATCAATTAAAACGAAAATAATATTTGCTATGAGAGATGCAGAATTTTATAACAATTTAAAATATATTTAACCAACATCAACACATTTAAACTATATCTAATAACAATAAAAATAAATAGCAAACCAAGACATGAGATTTTGCTACAGGTGTTCGACATATCGACCTTATATCTGATATGGACAGACGGGGCAGTTTTTGAACATTTCTCGCGGAATTCATTAACTCAGTGGGGGTGAAAGATACCCTATCATAACTGCTAAGTATTTTTAATTCTTGTCTAGATTATACGGAAGAATAAGGAACCTTTATTCGCAAATATATCCATAGGATTAGATCCACGGGCTCTAAGTCAGGCGGCCTCGACGGCCAACGGCTGGGATCTTGGTTAGCTATCCAATTATTCTTGAAATTGGCTGCAAAAATTTGCTAATAACTTCAGCGTTTAGAGGCGGTGCGTCGTCTTGCTGCAAAAATATGTTTTCGAGTTCAATTAAGGGCATATCACCAATAAGGGGTCCAAAGCCTACTAATTAAAAGTGACGAACTTTTAAAAATTCTGTATTTCGAAGGGGATTATAACAAAATATCAAGTATGCTATATTTTTGGAATGGTAATTTTAAATTCTTTTCAGTTAATTAAAAATATAGAGGGTGTCCCAAATAAAAAATCAATTTTTCTGTTGATAACTCTTAAATTATTAATGTTAAAAAAAGTATACTTAAACTATTAAATTCTACGTAAAAAGGTGCTTTGGAAATGTTTTCAAAGAAATACAAAATTTTCCATAACAAAAAAGTTACAGCGATTTGTTAAAAATGCACATTTTTGAAAAACACCCCGTAACTCCGAAACGGTAACAGATATCGATATGCGGTTTTCACTATCATGTTTTTGACAAAAATTGAGCTCCAGACACCGATATTAGTTTTCGTCTATCTCCTATAGAAAAGGGTGTTTCCATTTAAAAGCGTCGAATTTGACCCACCCTGTAGATGGTGTTGATAGTCTATTCTATTGTAGCATGCATATTTAAATATCTCTAACTACCTCAAAACCAAAGATTTTGAACATATTTAACCCCTATAATAAATAACTTTTTTGGGCAAAAAAATCCAAAATAAAATAAGAAAAAATATAATTTTGTTATCGATTCTAAGACATCCTGTATGTTTCAAAATAATTTTTAAATTGCATATTGCCTCCCCATATATACCCATAAAATATTTTGTTTCTACATCATTCCATTTTCGTATAATACACCGAGGCGAATGAAGTGCTCCACCATGTATAATAAGGATAAGATAAAAATGATTTAATTTTTTTTTAAATAATATTTATTGTATTGATATAACCCCATAATACTCTTTTAAAAATATAAAATTACTGAACAAATATAATTTTACGGCCACTCCCGTATTTTTATCTGACAAAATAAAAAAGTTACACTATTTCTTTGTCAAAGATATTTTATAAAAGATATTTGATGAAAAATTTGACATTGTTAATAAAACCCTTAAGTGACTGACTCACTGATTAATCACGATCCTGCTCAAACCACTCAACGTAATTTTGGCATACAGGTTGATTCTAGGGTGTAGAGGTTCGATAAGAAGGGATTTTTCGAAATTTGAGTTTCAAGGGGATGAAACCACCCCTCAAATATTATAATATTTTTTATTTCAAAAACGGTAAAGTTTCCGAAAAAATGCTTAAACACGTATATTTTATTTTGTTTTTTTACATAGTTTAAGATTTTTTAAAAATGTATACAGGGTGTTTCGAAAAATCTGGTCATTGATTAATCACGATCCTGCTTAAAGCGCTTGGCGTAAAAAGCTGATTTTTGGAAAACGGATTGACTTTAGGGTGTAGAGGTCCGATAAGAATATTTTTTATTTAAAAACCGGTGAGTTTTTCGGAAAAACTCTTAAACACGTATATTTTATTTTGTTGTTTTACATATTTTAAGATTTTTTAAAAATTTATACAGGGTGTTTCATAAAATATGACCATTGAGTAATCACGATTCGGCTTAAACTGCTTAACGTTTAAAGCTAATTATTGGCAAACGGATTGACTGTGGGGTGTAGAGGTTCGATAAGGAGGGGTTTTTCGAATCTCAAATTCCAAGAGGGTAAAACGCCCCTCAAATATTACAATATTTGTTATTTAAAAAACGGTTAGTCTTTCGGGAAAACGCTTGGACACGCATAATTTATTTCGTTTTTTACATACTATGAAATTTTTTAAAAAATCAAACAGGGTGTTCCAAAAAGTTAGGTAATTGATTAACCACGATTCTGCTTAAACTGCTTGACGTAAAAAGCTTATTTTTGGCAAACGGATTTTTCGAAAGTCAAATGCCAACGAGATGAAACTACCCCTCAAATATTACCAAGATACCAAGTTATATAATAATATCGCCATATTGTTTTTTCTCATGCTGACATAAATGTGAGAAAATTTTATCCAGTTTGTATGTTAATGGAAATTCTTGCTTTGCTTTATCATCACCGTTACAAATTATTAATTCGACGCGAACGAAGTCGCGGGTACATGTTAGTATTTTATAAAATCATATGTCAAATTCTTTGATAAAAAATCTTTGGCAAATAACTTTGATAGTGTAATACTGGTCTTACATAAAATAAAATCTTTGACAAAGAAATTTGATAGTGTAATAGTAGCCTTACTGAGTTTTTCTAAATTAATTTTCTTTAAGTTAGAATACACAAATAGATTAAGTTACGTACTTGGTTCTTTATTCTCAGTACGCTCAAAACCATGATCACTATTCAGAGCAGTGTCAATAACATTTTCCATCCGATTATTCACAATACTTTTCGAATCGAAGTTTCTTTCCATAGATTTGCTATTTTCATTGAATTGCTTGTTTAACATAGGCAGATCGTTAGATCTATCCACCGATGTTTTATCTTGTGCCATTTCTGGTTTCTGAAAGCTTGATTGATCAATTTGTTCTTTGCGACTAGAATCAAAACTATTCGGCATCGGATTGATCGGTACCGGCACATTGATATTCTGGTTGAGATTCGATCTTGAATTAACAGAGGGTATGTAACTAAAATCATTGGACTGAGCCGGAGAGGTACTGACGGCAGGTTGTATAGCATGATTCAAAAATAAGGACTGACTTTCTGGTTTGATCGGTGACAGGTTTTCAGACGAACCGCTAGCGGGACCGCTACCACCAGATTTGATGTTAAGTATTATAGATTTTGGGGCACTTTCAACTTCATCTATTTTCTTAATAAGCTGTCCATCACTCTATATGAATGAATACAAGGAAACATTTAATATAAAAATAGTAACTTATAATAATTTGACATAAAAGAAGTTCAGCTCTAAAGCTTCATTATCATTCATAATGTTTAAAAAATACAATTAAAATTAGCAGAATATCCTATCAACAGCTTGCGGTAGTCAGTTGTATCCATAGAGAAAGCCTAATTTATAAAACAATCAACTTTTTATTTCTAACCACAATTTCTCTTGACGGAAAATAATCAAAGGCCAAAATGACATTTCTCGCAAATTTTGAAGTATAATTAGTGGAAAAGTTAAAATTTTGATAAAGCTTCATTCAAAACCTTGCAATTATGTAGTGGAATAAATTAGTTGTTTCAATTACACTTTATACTTATCAGTTTACGGCCATTCACAATGTTTAAAAAACACAATTAAAATTAATAGAATATCCTAGCAACAGCTTGCGTTACTCAGTTGTATCCATAGAGCAAGCCTAAGCCCACGGCCACACATAAAGCGTTTTCAGCGTTTTTCGTTTTTTGTGTCGCTTTTTGCGATGTTACCGTTTCAAGCGTTTTTTTCAATTTGTGTCCATTAAAAACACGCAAAAGACGCGGCAGGTCTGCAGTTTTTATCAAGATGTCAATTAGTAAGGTCGCAAGCTCATGGATTCCCGGCCCGTTCAACAATCAATCCAGTGAGAAAGAGATAGGCGAGATCGCCGCAGTTAGCGTTGAAGAGACGAAGATAAAAGATGCTGGGATTAAATTGTGGACGGGTCGGGGCATATATTCGGCGACAAACACAATCTACTGCCAGTGGTGTGTGTAAAAAAAAATAATTATTATTTACCATTTATTTATTTTACGAATTTTAGTTTATATGTTTATAGTTTTTTTATGTTGTAGTATTGTGGTTAGTACTTGTTATAATTATAATATAATAATATAATAAATAATTATAATTATATAATAGAATAGTAAATATTTCTAGTTGCTAATGCAATTTTAGGACATGATTTATGAATCATTTTGGAGTGAAATTTCTTTACGCGCATGCGGCCGTTCGCATGCGGCCGTTTTAACGCATGCGGCCGTTCGTTCGTTCGTTCGCTCGACCATCCGTTTCGAGTCGGTACATCAAAGGCGTTCGCCAAGAAATGCGTCCGGTCTATGGTCCGGTCTTCTCGTGCGGTTCTATCGTACGGTCCCCGTCCATACCACTAGCGAACATTCGTTCGTTCGTTTGTTCGTTCGTTCGGATAATGAATACGCACCTTTAGAAAACACTAGAGACGCTACAGAAAACAAACTGATTTGTTTTCATTTGTGTTTTTTTGCGTGACACGCCGAACGCTACACGCTTTTGGTGTGGCCACTCCTATATAATCCTGTTATTTTGTTTTAGTCGCTGAAAACGCTTCACGCTAAAAACGCAAAAAACGCTTTCTGTGTGGCTGTGGACTTATTTTTTTGCGTCTCAAGCGCTTTTTGCGATGTTACAGTTTGAAGCGTTTTTTCAATTTGTGTCCATTAAAAACATGCAAAAGACGCGACAGGTCTGCAGTTTTTATCAAGATGTCAATTAGTAACGTCGCAAGCTCATGGATTCCCGGCCTGTTCAATATTCAATCCTGTGAGAAAGAGATAGGCGAGATCGCCGCAGTTAGCGTTGAAGAGACGAAGATAAGAGATGCTGGGATTGAATTGTGGACGGACCGGGGCATATATTCGTCGACAAACACAATCTACTGCTAGTGCCAGTGTTGTGTGTAAAAACAATAATTATTATTTGCCATTTATTTTACGAATTTTAGTTTATATGTGTATAGTTTTTTTATGTTGTAGTGTTGTGGTTACTTGTTATAATTATAATATAATATATTAAATAACTAAAATTATATAATAGAATAGTAAATATTACTAGTTGCTAACGCAATTTTAGGACTTGATTTATAAAACTTTTTACGCGCGCTGGGAGTAAAAATTCAAAGCTGTGACATACGAGCTAGCGAGACGGCCCAGAGCTAGTTGTAACGAAACATGTTAACGGCAGTCTGTTTGTGAGCAGTCCACGTGTTTATCAAAAATATTAATATTTTAAACAAATTTTGTAAAAGTGAATCAAATTATTACACGTAAAAAACTATTTTTTACGCGTATAAAACTATTTGTTACTGGTAGAAAACTATTTTTTACGTGTATAAAACTATCAGTTACACGTAAAAAACTAATTTTTACGCGTGAAAACTTATTGTTTCTGGTAAAAAAACTTTCTTACACCAAAAAAAATATTTTTTACGTGTAAAGAACTATTTGTTACACGTAAAAAACATTTTTAACGCGTCAAAGAGTATTTGTTTCTGTTAAAAAAACTTTTTTATGCAGAAAAAAAAACACTTTACGCATAAAAAACTATTTTTCACGCGTAAGAAAATATTCCTTTAATTTGTTACTTTTTCAACATTTCAAACTACACTTTTTCAAACATTTCCTTTAAATTTTTGAATTTAATAGAATCTTCCTAAACAGTAGATGTTCTCTATAAAAATATTTTTAGATAATACCCTAAAATGAAAAAAAAAATGCATACTAAGTATTTGATTTATTTTTATTTTATTATTAAATACAACGTCAGCCTATGACGGGGTCTCATCTTAGAAATCGCTAAAGACGCTACAGAAAACAGTAACTGTTTTGATTTGCGTTTTTTGCGAGACACGCCGAACGCTACACACTTTTGGTGGGGCTACTGCTATACAGGGTGGCCCATCGAAAACGTTCCGCAAGGCATAACAGCCAGGGTTTTTTTTCAAAAAATCCAAAAACACGCCAATTTTGTTTGTGAGGGGGATAACTTTTGGCCTAAAAATGATTGCAAAATCTTCAACCCTCTAAGCGGGGGTGTCATCCCCCAACTTTTTTCAAATGGGAAGGGGGGTCAAGTGGCGCCGCAATGAAAAGGGCTTTCTATTCTCTATATTCCCCGCTTCGTTTTTAAAAATCGGTCGTCATTTTGAAAATATGAAGGATTGAAATTTGAAAAGTACTTTTTGCAAAAAAAAACGCATAAATTGAATTAACTAAAAAAAACTTAACTTATTAATGAAGCAAATGCTGAAAATGTTGCCCGTCAACCTCCATACAGTAATACAATTATTTTCAAACCATTCTCGAACATTCTGAAGAACTTGCGGGGTCACTTCGCGACAAACATCAATAATTCGTTTTCGCAGGTCTCCTAATGAGGCGGGTGGAGTGCTATATATATACTTCACTTTTTATGTCTCCCCATAGAAAAAAGTCTAAAGGAGTCAAGTCGGGTAACCGGGGAGGCCACTCAATTGCACCCCTTCGTCCTATCCACCGACCGGGAAAGTTATTGTTCAAAAATTACGCACATTTTGAGAGCAATATGGAGGTGCACCGTCTTGTTGTTGAAATATTAGTTCCGCTTCAACGTATCCAGGATTGTTCTCTATGATGTCAGTTAGGGCTGGGTCGATGGTATTTTCCAGTAAATCCAAGTACATATCTTCTGTTGGATTTCCAGGAAGAAAAAAAGGACCCACAATAGAATTTCCAAAAATACACGTTCAATTTCTGAGGATTTTGTGTGTGCACCTCGTGAAAAACCCTGGGGTTGTCCTCAGCCCAGTACCGACAGTTGTGCCGATTAACTTAATCGGCAAAAAGTTCTCGTTCAAAAAGAAAGTACACTCATCCGAAAAACACACATTAAATAGGAAATTATTATCATTGGCCACTCGTTCACTCATAGTTTCACAAAATTGCAAGCGACGATCAAAATCCTCTTCGTTGAGTTCTTGTACCAACTGAATTTTGTACGGATGGAAGTTGTGTTTTTTAATATCCTTTGGACACTTGTACGATTCACGCCGGTCTCATTGACTAATTTTCTTGTACTCAGCGTACTATCTATGGCAACTTGGCCCAATACGAATACCTCCATAGCTTCATTTACTACAGGATTTTCCCTCTGCCTCTTTTTATTCATAACGAAACCAGTTTTTTGCTACTAACTCGCGAACAATTTTGCCATAAACCTGTTTGTCAGGATGGCGTTCATTGAATATCTGCGCAACCCGATTACCACATTTATTATTTTTAAAATTTAGTTCGATTATTTCCACTTTTTCTGCAAGTGAGTACACCATAATTGTTAGAAAGTTTAACGATATTGAGAAGAACTTCAACGCACAAGTCACAGAACAGCTATCTAGCAACTACCCCACCTGATCGTTCAACCTTGTGGCAAATGAAAAAATGCGTAAACAGCTAGAAATAATAAGAAAAAACAGCAAATTGGTCGAAGGAATTTATCCTTATCATTTACTCTGATGAATGTTTAAATAAACTTTTCAAATATCAATCCTTCATATTTTCTCAATGACTCGACCGATTTTCAAAAACGGAGCGGGAAAGTTAGAGAATAGAAAGCCCTTTTCACTGCGGCACCACTTGACCCCCCTTTCCATTTGAAAAAAATTGGGGGATGACACCCCCGCTTAGAGGGTTGAAGATTTTGCAATCATTTTTGGGGCAAAAGTTGTCCCCCTCACAAAACAAAATTGACGTGTTTTTGAATTTTCTGAAAAAAAATTACCCTGACCGTTATGCCTTGCGGAACGTTTTCGATGGGCCACCCTGTATAATAGGGTGGATCGTAAATATCAAAATTTTAAAATTTTTAAAACATCGACTTGGAATACCTACGAAAAGTTGCTTTTGGTAATGTTGATAAAAAAGTGTTACTACAACTTTTTAGTAAAATCACATCTTATGCCCTCTACTAGCCCTTAAAAAATGAAATTTTTTTTTTGAAAAATCGATTTGGAATAGCTACCAAAAGTTATCTATAGTAATGTTGATAAAAACGTTTATTTAATTTTTTTTATAAAATCACGTCTTCTGCCCTCTACCGACTGTTAGGTTAGGTTAGGTTAGGTTAGTTAAAATTGAAAAAATGCCGTTGCATATTTTAAAAATAACTTACTTCCTTCGCAATCTGGCGTTTTAAAGTGTTATTTATGGACAAGGTATAATTTGAAACCTGCACACTCAGGAAAGGAACCAACCGTCTGACAGAATTCTAAGTTTGTAACAATTCCTACAGTAATAAAAAAACGTGTTTTCAATTAATAAAAACCCATTACGACAAGTATCTAAAACTTTTGAGGTATCCGGAAAATTAAGAATTAAGAAAAATGATAGTTACAAAAAACGTCTTCAGGAATTTCAAACCGAGAATCCTTGCCTGTTTGATCACTTTGGATAATCGCACCTTACACCTTTATGTTAGTACCGAAAATCCAACATTACAGTTAAAAGAACTGTCCAAATTTATTGTCAAGATTTATGCTCCTTTATGGTTTCATATTAAATGCAACTCTTCATGTGTAAATGGTGCCAAACATGTTTTACAAACAATAAAACGTAGCCGATACTTAGAGCAAGGTTTAAAAAGTGTTATAGATCCTGTAATACAAAGAAATGCCTATTTTGGCCATCTCGAAAATCTTCTGATATGTTTGCTACATGACACTCGCCCTCATATAAGAGAGCTTGCACTTCGCCGCATTCTAAATGCAAAACTCAAGACAATCAATACGCAATATCCGACCTTTTATCATCCCACAAATTAATTTTGACGCAGATGACCATGTTGATCTAATTGATTGGCAAAAAAATTAAATAACTTGTCCCCCATTGCTCCAAACTTTGGAAGTAGATGATTTGAAAAATATGATCTTTAGTTCTTCTGAAACAATCATCGACATCGCTGCATTTCCCTGTTATACTCAGTAGAGAGACACGTAAAACTTGTAACCAAAGCATCTTTATCAGTTGTAGGCATACAAAAGAGAGAGTTTTATAAAGACAAAAATAAATTAGGGCAAAATTAAGCCATAATTTGAGTCAAAAAAGACTACAATCAATAAGTGAGCAAAAATAAATGGATGAGGGAGGGTGGGATGAAACTCGCCGAGCAGTTACTTCCCCGTGGTGAGTTCGGTTGTTTAACAATACTGAATACATAAAATATTGTTAAACAAGCGAAAAACTGCTCTAAGTGCTCTGCTCGACACAATTTTAACTCTTTGTTAAAGTGTTAAATATTTGGGTATTTATAAAAAAAGAGTCAAAAAGGCTACAATCAATAAGTAAGCAAAAATAAATGGATGAGGGAGGGTGGGATGAAACTCGCCGATCAGTTACCTCCCCGTGGTGAGTTCGGTTTTTTAACAATACTGAATACATAAAATATTGTTAAACAAGCGGAAAACTGCTCTAAGTGCTCTGCTCGACACATTTTTAACTCTTTGTTAAAGTGTGTAAATATTTGGGTATTTATAAAAAAAAATGTTTGGCCTTGGTACATAGGTTACACTGAGTAGGGGGGTTAAAATGTCATATTTCAATAAGATATATTATTTCTAATTACAAAAATTACTTATTACCTGAAATTTTGGCTAAAAATCAAAATTTTATAATTTTGTATTTTTTACTTTTTTTAAAGCCCGGTAGAGGGCAGAAGATGAAAAAAAATTGAAAAACTATAAATAGATATTAGTTTTCTAATACCAATTGGCAACTTTTGCGTAGTATTCCAAAACGATTTTCAAAACATCGATTTTTCGATCCACCCTACTGTATAATCCTATTATTTTGTTTTAGTCGCTAAAGACGCTTCACGTTAAAAACGCAAAAAACGTTTTCTGTGTGACCGTGGTCTAATATTTAGCTTATAAAACAATCAACTTTTGATTTCTAACCGCAATAATTATTTCTCTTGACGGAAAATAATCATAGGCCAAAATTACATTTCTCGCAAACGTTTAATTGTGAAGTTCTGAATGCTTACAATGAAATTGAAGGAACAAACTTCTACACTAATTGAAACCACTAATTTATTCCACTAATTGCGAGGTAAATTAAAGCCAAATTAAAGCAACTATATCGGGCACCAAGTTTAACGGGGGTAGCAAGAGCACAAAGACTGAGATGGCTGGGACACATTGAAAGAATGGCTGAAGCAAGAATTCCTAGTAGGATAATGAAACGTGAAATAGGTGGAAAAAGGAGGGGTAGACCGAGAACCCTCTTATAAAGACCATCCGGGGATATATTGTAGAATCGAAATATAAGCAAAAAATTCAAGAACAAATGACAAATGCTATATCGATTGTAATATCACAAGGTTGACACAAAAAAGTCTGGGGCATTATTTTTATCGATGAATATTGTGCAAAAATAAAAATTCATATTCAATATTTTATTAGTTAAATCACTTAGTTAAGTTAATGATTAATAACTAGCTAATCTCAAATAAATTTATATAGAGCATTACCTTAATATTTATTTCAACATCTCTTTTTATTTTTTGCTCATTATTTTCGCTGTCAGTCAAGCCAGACAGTTTCGCATTTTTATCTACGATAAGTATATTTTCATTGTTTGGAATTTTTCTGCCAGGTCTTTTTATCTCGCCCAATGAACTGTCGTGAGCTACTTTTACATCTAACCCTCTTCTCAGCCTTATTGGGCTGTGAATAAATTTGCTATATCTGAAAGATAAGGGTATATTGGTTTTTACATAATATGGAACTTAAAATATATGAATACAACTGAAATATTTTAATCCATAACAGAATAAGATTTGTTTAACAAAATCATTCTTGTGGGGCTATACCTATCTAGGAGTGATATTTGATACAAAAGGTAAAGATGGTAACGAGATTAAAAAATGTAAAGAGCAGTCTACTCTATAGTGAGACTTGGAAAACAACGAAAGCCAACCGAAGAAAACTGGAAGCGGTAGAAATGGATGCCTACAGAAGAATTTTAGGAATTTCCCGAAGAGATACAGTTCGAAACAAAGAAATCTGGCAGATGATATGAATTGAGAGATCTTTGGCAACCAACATCGAATGCAAATAACTTGTATGGCACGGCCATGAGAATGGATGATACCAGGTTTCCAAAATAAGTTATGCGATGGACACCCCAAAACCTGGGAAAGCGTGGAAGATCCAAGAATATATAACAAAAGCAATGAGTGCTAGAAATTTAAGCAAGGAGCAATGGAAAAAAATGTTAATTAAGAAGGTATATTTGTTGAATTAAAATTACAGTAATACATTACAATAATAAATTCATTAAGAAATATTGTTGGGTATTATTGAATATCGACAGGCAAAACAACAACAAACCTGATGTAGTGAGCATTGGTCGTTTTGAGGTTGTAAGTCAATATATATATCTTGGGTCACTTATAAACAACACGGGATCGTTAGAAGAGGAAATAAGAAGAAGATGTGAAATGACAAGAGTGGTAGTGCGAAAACTCTCAAAGATATGGCCAGACAAAAACATATCTAAACACTTAAAAAAAAGGCTTGTTCACTGCCTAATATTTTCTATATTAATGTATGGCCCCGAGTCCTGGACCATGAGACAGTCAGAAATGAAAAAAAAATGACGCAACTGAGATGTACTGTTGGCGACGAATGCTCAGAATTCCCTGGACTGCCCGACGAACCAATGAATCCATAATCCAAGAACTGAACATCATAAAACGCCTCTCAACTTCTATACAGTCACACAGTCAAGGCAAGTTTCCGGGAAGAAGACCAAGAGGCCGCTCGCCCTCCCGATGGATAGACCAACTATCAAAAATCACCCACAAGCCACTGCACACGCCACACGCTTGTACATGAAGCACAAGACAGGCAATTATGGAGACAAACCACCTCACACATCACCTGACCACTACATTCCTTTTGTAGGAATAAAGACAGAGAGAGAGAGAGAGAGAGAGAGAGAGAGAGAGAGAGAGAGAGAGAGAGAGAGAGAGAGAGAGAGAGATTATTGAATAGTGCATAGTGCATGAGTCCCTAAAGTCCCAGGTGACTTGGAGATTATTGAAAACTATTTAAAATAATTACTAACATAAAATTGGAAAAGACACAAGATATTGCTAGAATAATAAAACATGCATTATATGCATGTATACGAATGTCTAATATTTGTATATAAAAACAAAGGTTTATTTCAAGCGCAAAATAAAGATCAATATGCCCAAGAGCGGACTATCTTTTGTATCCCACGTAGAATGTGGAATCTATCGTGCCCCCCTTCCTTGAGTCATCACACAATCTATAACCCATCATATTCCTGTCGTAGAGGGGACAGGGTATTTCCCATCCTCCTCTGACAACAGTTCTTCCTCCGAGATTACATACCCTTCCACGGTTGGAGTTTGGTCCTCCGTGCAGCTATTCACAGTCGAGAAGCTTGCCTCCGGCTGAGAAACCCGTCAGGTGGAGGCTGGAGGATCTGTCTCCATTTTCTCCACCTCGTTAACTTGGTCTCTCCTTAGACCTGATACCGGTGTTGTCCCGTATCTATAATAGAGGATATGTCCCTCTTTCTCTATTGCCCCCTTGGATTTGAGGTCAATTCCTATTGTGAGGACCTGACCATGACACTCCTCCCTCGAGTTGATGACTCGCCAACTCGATGTCCTTACCTTGAAGTTCTGACCTTGGATAAGGCTCAGCAGGTAGGTGGTGTCTTTTCCCTTGCTCCTCGGCAGAAAGACCGTTATGGCCGCCCCTTTAGGGATGTTTTCTCCCTTCACTGCAACCAGTTCCGGCCCCTGCCAATTTTTAAGCTTAGGTGCGATTTCCACCAACCAATTCGCCGATTCTTGAGACACACAACCTATGAGGATCATGCCCACCCGAAAGTGTATCCCCGCAAAACGCAGCTGATCCACATTTTGTAGATCATCGTATTGCGATCCGATCGCCACTACGTCGTCCAATATAGCCTCTTCTAGAGACGTTTGCTGGTCGGTGGTCAGAGCAATCTCTGGGAAATCCTTTGGCAGCACCGCCATTTTCACTTGTCCAGCACTAGCGGCAAAGGTGGTGATACGTCCCCGCTTGCCTCCCGGTGTTGGACGGCTTTCCATCCTGGCTTTTTTCTCTCCCTGTCGGAGAAGAGGTTCTCGCTCCCTCTCTTGCCCTTTGATGGAGATGAGTCAAGTTGTTTCTTGGTTTCTTTACTCTCCCCTTTTCGGAGGAGTGTTTTCGCTTTTGCTTCCTCTGGAGCAAGTCCTTCGTGGAGCAGTTGGAAGTATCTCCCTGCTTCTGCTCCGCTAAGACCTACTTTCAGAGAATCGTCTAGCCCGCCTGGTTGACCCAGGGCGGGTAGACGAAACGATAGCTTATGTCGCTTATTGGGTCTAGAGGTAGGCTCCTGACTCTTGCTGGAGAAGGCGGTAGCTTGTGTGCCACTTGTGGAGGATGATCCCAAGCAAGTATCAGCCACCCCCCTGTAGTTTCCTTTGGATTTGGTCCCTTGCAACTTTCATTTTTTGTAATGTTCCCAGTGTCGTAAGGAGGCTTCCCCACAGCTTTATTGGTGGTGTTTTTAATACTAGATCTCATAGTGGTCCCACGAGTCGCTAGGGATAGTCGGTCCACTTCTACAGAACCCCGCATGCAGAAGTAAATACAAAGGGGTGCCCTCTGATGCCCCAAGGTTGAAGAATGGCCTCTAGCTAGCCACGCATCCCTTTGACCTGGTCCCGCTATCGTAGGATTTAGGTTTTTGGTGAGGTTGTTTTCTCTTGGTCCAGGCGATTAAGCCAAGACACACCCTCTACCCGCGAGACATGACCATAGTCAGTAGAGGGTATGACCCCTGGTATGACGGACAGGGGTAGCCCCGTCCGGCATCGTTATATGTCTTGGTGCAATTCCCTGGCCACGACACTACAGCCAGGGACAAGACAATGAGATGCTTCTTGGACCGAGCAAAAGTACTAGAGGAGATTCATCCAGCACCTGACCAGGAGCTTCCCCACCAACGACAAGGTCTTGCATCTCCTAGGGGAAGTTTGTATCCCATACATCGCCTTCAACTAACTGAAAGGAACCCTGAGTATATGTGTATTAAGTGTTTTAACAAGCTACCTCTAAAATTAAAAAAAATTGAAAGTTTAAAAATATTTAAAAAAGAAATTAAAAAAACGTTAACTGAAATGGAACCGCATTGTTTTAGATTATTTTGGGTAAATGTATACATTTTGTATAAACAGATAATTTAAAATTAAAAACTATGAAATAATAATTAAGGATTAGTATTACTTTGATTATATTTACTTTTCATCAAAATCAAATGACGTATCCCGGTTAAGACTGGCTAATCCCTTATTGTGTTTTTTCTTCTGTTCATATTGCGTAGGTTTTTGATAATCTCGTTGAAGCGAGTCATCTTCCTATAATTTACAAATTGAGATTTAGTAATTAGATCATTCATAAATACACTACTCAAAACAATTATCGCATATTTAAATAAAAGTAATTAATACACATTTCTTAATAAAGCATGCATTTTTCTGCCTTTCTCTTGTGAGTTTTTTAAAGATAATTAATTAGGGTACGCACTGACATGTAATTTTTAGTCGGCCGGCTATTTATTGCAAAAGTGAAAACAATACTGAGATGAACCGCCTATTTAAAAATAGACATATTTATTTAAATTCAAAACATTCATTTTTAAGACACTCTGTATACATAAACAAAATTATTGATTTTTAAAATATTATTCACAAACTAGGGAGAGGGAAATCAGGCGACGAACAGAGGTGATGTTTGTTAGATAATAGCTTCTAGACTACCGTTCGAGACGCATTGATATTATTTTGGTTCTTGAGTTTTGTGACAAAGAATGTTATTAAAGGTAAAGTAAATATTTTCTCATTATTTAACTAATGTTAACTAATTCATATTATTTTGTTTTCTTGTTGTAATTCTGTTCTAAAGCTTTTCCTTATTTATTTGATCTGACAAAGACAATATATAACATGTGTATGCATTTAATGGAATCTATTTATGCTGTAAATAATTTCAGTTTAAAAGTAATCTAAATAAAATCGTTTACTGTTCCTTCGTGCCGATGTTTGTGGTTTGTGAGAATAAGAGCCTTGTTGAGTGTACTAACAATTTTCGACCTTGCATGGGCGAATATCTTAGCTCGCATAAGGGCAAACATAAACAATAAATAAAATAATTCATAGAATAACTTACAATTTATTAAATCATAAGATATTGGCACCAAACCTTCAACTTTAGCGTCGATTCCGCAACAAGGGACTTCGTACCTACGGGTGGGGACCCGTTAAACTAACAAAATACTCTTCAGTTTTGAACGATATAAATGTGGCATGTTTTGAATGTATTAAACTATAAACCTAGGTATGAGGACAGTTTCTATATTATTCTTTCTCTTTTATTAAAGTTCAGGACAGCATAGTTAGATTCTCTGGAATAGTGATCATGGTTTTCTCTGCCGTGCTCTTTTACATGTGAATTCCAGGTAGAGTACGGCACTCCTTTCATTTCATTTAATAAAATAAGTAGGGCTATTTACAAATTTCGCGTTTTATTTACACAACCTATTCTCCTCAAATTTCCCAAAATATTGCTTCTGTCGAGGCGCATCCGAGGTAATCACAATAAAAAAATATTTAACACAACGTAGGTTCCTTTCTTACTTTTAAATTTCTTGTTATACAGTTGGCCAAAATATTACCTCTTCAACTTTGTTGACGAATTTGGGTTGTTACACTACAATACATTCTTATGGAGCCGATCCGCCCAATGTTTGATTGCATTGACTGCTATGCGCTGACAAAATGACGTCAGCGCATAGCAGTCTACGATGCTGACATTGACTGCTATGCGTAGACTGCTATGCGCTGACAGGCAATTTTTAATCGGCCGACGACTTAGTGGCATATTTGTAACCAATATATCCTTATGGGGCCGCGCTCACAGGCAATCAACTAGTCGGCCGATCGGCTCCTTAAGTAAGTATTGTTTTCATTTTTGCAACTAAATAGTCGACCGACTAAAAATAACAGGGCAACGCGAAAGCTTATTGTTTCGAATTTTCCTTCACAGTATTCAAACTATTTATAACCGTAAGTCAAAGTGTCTTGTTTTTCAAATTAATTTTTTTTTTAGAAAATATGCGATAATTGTTTTGAGTACTTTATTATACATGGTTGTTCACCACATACGACACGGAGTATTGTAACTAAACGACCAGATTTTTACAAATTGTAAGTTTTGGGTTCGTTCAAGGACTATTAGAGCTACAATTTAAAAATATTTTTACAAGATACAGAGTGTCCCAAATAAATAAAAAATATCAAAGTTATATTTTTTTAAACGGAACACCCTATATATTATTACATTTTTAGTTTCTACGATTAAAATAAAGGTAAATTTGATTAAGGTTTATTAGACTTAAACCTTACCGTTTTTGAAATATTTTCAATTTTGTGAAATTGCAGTATAAATTTTAAGGCTTCATTTCTCCGAGGGTATCAAAGTTTTTTATACTAAATATTTACTAAAGTTTATTTATTGATCAGTTATTGTGTTGCAATAATAAAAACTTTACTACCTTATACAGAGTGTCTAAAAATTTATTTTAAATTATTACTAGATTTAAACGGCAATAACTTGTTTAATTTAAATAGAACACTCTGTATATTTTATGAGAATCAGATGCACAATCTAATTGTCTATCAAATTGTATTATACCATTTTTTACCTATCTCTTCAAGTTTCCGTAGAAAATGCATTTTCTTGTAACTTAGAACTCATTTATCAATATACCCATGGAATACTGACATTTTAGATTATTTTTAAAGATGTAGCAAATTTTTAAAGAGTACAGATACTAATATTGTTGATGTAGTTTGTTTATTTCATTAAAAAATAAAAAAAAACTGTTAAAATATTTGTTAAAGAGGACCAGTTAATATGATTCCAGTATTCAAACTACATTAATTGACTGCGTTGATTAATAATAATTGCTCCAAATACTAAAAAACTGAATTATGTATGTGTATTAGACAGTGTGGTAAAAAGTAACACCTTAAAAATGATATTTAATTTTTTGACAAATGCTTATTTATAACAACAGAGACGTTCATTTCATAACTAATATATTGATTTCTGATTCAAATCCACATTTATTTAGAATAATTTATTAACGAACACAATTAAGTATGTAGTTAATTAGTATTTGGGCGGAAATACTGGTGGTATATTTAATTAATGGTATACTCTTTTATAAAGATTTAAATAGTTTTCTTTTTGCATACAAATGAGCTAGTAATATTATCGTTTTACTAAAAACGATAGTATTACTAGCCTGTACATTTTGTACATTTGTTGTTTTAAAAACAATCTAAAATGTCAATATTCCATGGGTATATTGATAAATGAGGTCTAAATTATAAGAAAATGCATTTTCTACGAAAACTTGAAGGAATAGGTAAGAAGTGGTATAATACAATTTGATAGACAGTTAAATTGTGCATCTGATTCTCATAAAATATACAGGATGTTCCATTTAAATTAAACAAGTTATTGCCGTTTAAAGCTAGTAATTATTTAAAATAAATTTTTAGACACTCTGTATAAGGTAGTAAACTTTTTATTATTGCAACACAATAACTGATCAATAAATAAACTTCGGTAAATATTTAGTATTAAAAACTTTGATACCCTCGGAGAAATGAAGCCTTAAAATTTATACTGCAATTTCACAAAATTGAAAATATTTCAAAAACGGTAAGGTTTAAGTATAATGAACCTTAATCAAATTTACCTTTATTTTAATCGTAGAAACTAAAAATGTAATAATATATAGCGTGTTCCATTTAAAAAAATACAACTTTGATATTTTTTATTTATTTGGGACACTCTGTATCTTGTAAAAATATTTTTAATTTGTAGCTCTAATAATCCTTCAACGAACCCAAAACTTACAATTTGTAAAAATCTAATCGTTTAGCTACAATACTCCGTGTCGTATGTGGTGAACAACCCTGTATACCCCAGTCAAATTAGTTAAAAAAAGACCCATCGGTGGAAAAAATTCCCACAGTTTTGAATTAATATTTTGAAAAATTAACGATTTCGCTAGACTTGGGCTGATATGTGTCAAAAGTCCCCGAAGATAGACGATGAACTGGAGGAGTGGGGAGGAGTTAATTGTCAATTTTTTCAAGACCAGACTTATGGTTTCCAAACTATGCCCTGCATAAATTTGGATACTAAATCGAATGGCATATTCCAAATCCGTACAAACACATTTCTTTTTATTGCGCGTTTTCCTTTCAAATAGCGTTGAAGAAGTTCGATATCCCCATGATTTTTGAAGTGTTAAGTATAGCTTTTAGTATATACTGTGGTTTTATAAATTTTAGACGGGATGGGTTCACATAAATCACACCTTGACTGCGCAAGTTATTTGTTAACATGGATAATGATTTCTGTTCATTTATTTTGTTTTATATTTTTGTGTAATTAAAAGAATCAAAACCGACATTATGTACATAATATATTAAAGAAACAAAATAAATAATAATACATGTTGAAACCACCTGCGAAGGTATCATTTCCTAGAATCATTTCACATGGGATATCATTTGTTGTTTTCTTTTTTTTTTGACTTTATGAAACTCCAGAATTCCTTAGGATCCCGTTGCATATTTTGCTTAACATTCTGAATGTACCTTCTGTATGCTATCTTAATATCTTTTTTAACTTTCGTCCTTAGAACTTTAAAATCCGTTAAACATTGAGGAATTTTCGTTTTTTTGTATAATCTGTGATTACGATTTTTTGCTTTAATGTCTATTATAATTTCCGGAGTGAACAATGGCGGGTACTGATATTTATTGTTTTTGTTTTTTGGAACATATGTATCGATGGTTGTATATAAAATATCATAAAATATATCAACTGCTTGTTCCACCTTAGCTACACTGAGTAAACAATTCCAGTCGGTTTCACGAAGTGTTGTATATAGACCGAAAAAAATTGCTTTTTTAAAATTGTAATATGAATCTACATTTTGAGGGCATGCTTTAAAACTATTATTTATCTTTATTTCAATCTCTAAAGTTGGGTGAAAAAGGTCTTCCTTATCTTTGATAAAAGGCTCATTACATCTCTTGACTATAGCTGGGAGATTACAAATTACTAAATCTAAACTTTTATTTGAACAATTTAATATTGAATTATACTGCTTTGCTCAAATATCCATTTAGTTGGTCATTGGCAAGCACTCTCTCATTGTACATGAAAATAACAAAACAAACATTTACTGATCTGGATAAAATTAATAGTTAAATAGTAAGACTCCCCCGGGGGTACTCCGCCCCCTAGCCACTGATATATTCTATTCAATATATCCCATTCCATATTTTCCATCTAATTCAAATATCATTCGGTTATATATTGGTTAATAATCTTCAACAACTAGCTAGTGTCACTTGAAATAGTATAGGGGCTTCTCCCGGACGCAACTCTGCCGCTAAACAGATTCGCATCCCAATCGAATAAGCTAATTGGGGTACCTCACTAGTCTCTCTACCCCAACGCCGCATCGTGTCAATCGACAAGACAAGGGAGACCTCAAACTCTCCAGACCAACCTCGAAGGAAAGACGTCACCAGAGGTTTTCTTCCGGTCAAACGACCCGTTGCCTTACAGTACTTGCAACGTTTATAGTCAAAAGACTCTCAACCCCCAAATATCAGCTCTATGACAAAACACAACACAACAGCCGGCTGGCCAGTCTACTACTGAACCGCCGTAGGAAAGCTAAGCCTCCTCTTACATCACAATTTTACCGGATCGTAAATGTTTACATTACTTGCCAATGAATCATACTATTTTCTCTAATCGACTTTAAAATAGAGTGTTTTAGCATTACTAGATAAATAAATAGAGAGTTTCCGAAGGAATGCATATTGTTTATTAGAATAGTGAATAAATAAAAGCATTATTATGACGAACTTATTTTCCAAGTTCTACATACATTTATAAAATAATAGTGAATTATTACACAAACATAAGTTTTTTTTAAATAGACCATAGTTGGCCATAACTTCATAAAAAATGCAATTTTTTAAGCTTTTCAGCGATATAAGCTATAATATGCTTTTTTCAAAAAATTACTGAGTTATAGGCAATTCTTATCTTTGTGTCTAAAATAGATTATAATGGAATTAGAGGGACAATTTTTAAAATAGCCAAAATTTTTTTTTCGAAATATCTAGTAAGTCATGAACTTTTTCAAAAATCCGAAAGGTGCATATTTATGACCTCACAAAACTGCAATTCTTTCCCCATTTAACCGACTCTCTATCTCCTGTAGTTTCCGAGATACCCATAGAGAACATCATAGGAAACTCACCCTGTATAGAGCGTTTTTCGCTCGGTTTTTCGGCAGATGTCATAGTTTCCGAGATATAAGCAAAAAAGTGAAAAAATTGACATTTTACTCCTCCCCACTCCTCGAGCTCATCGTCTATCTTTGGCTACTTTTGACACATATCAGCCCAAGTCTAGAGAAATCATTTAAAGCTATTTTTGCCATTAAAGCTGTGGGATTTTTTCCACCGATTTTTCTAATTTGACTGGGCGAATATTTTATTTATTATATAATTACAAGATCTTCATTCAGGAGAAGTTTATTTTCAGCATATTGTTTTTCGTAATTTTTTCTTTTTGCAGCAACATTCCTTATGAACGCAAAGTCATTCTTGTGCCGTTGAACATCTAATAAAAAGTTGTTTAGTTCTTGGGGCCATTCTGGATTGGGTCTGTATTGCTAAAATATATTTAAGTTTTCTGAATTATTGATATATAAATTTTCTACGAATTTTTTAAATCGCGAAATTTTAAATCTCTTCCCCCCTTAGTGTCCCCTTTTCTTGAGTTATGGCTCATCATACAGTCAACTGAATCTGATTAACTATCGAGTTCATCATGTTCAATTTTTGTCAATGTCGACATGTATTGATTATTTCGATTCCAAATATCTCAAGAACCATTATTGGTAGCGATTTTTATCACAGACCCTTTTACGTAAAAAACGGCGGAAATGTATATTTTTTTACTTGGAATTTTTATACTGGTAGGGACGAACAGTTATTAAGGTTGATTCTATACCTTCCATATCAGCTACCTTCCGTTTCCTTTCCGTTTACATAAAATTTTATATCATGTAAATGAATAGGACAATGCACACTTTCCGTTCCGTTTCCCTTCCGTTCCATATCCTTTCCTTCCATACATTTTTTTGGCGGACGGAAACAGCGTTATCAAGTTCTTACATGTGTACCAGGGCTCTGTTAAAATTTTGCTGATATTTATTTATTCTTTCGCCTCGTAATTAAATCTATTACCATTTTCAAAATATACAACATTTTTAAAATAAAACTTTCGTAATGATATAAATTGTACAATAAAAAGTATGGAACTGATATGGAACGGAAGCTTACGTACAGCGTCAATACAATAAAAATACGGAACGAATATGGAATGGAAACGGAAAGTATAGTGATAATCAACCTTTACTCTTCCAACCAGTTAAAAAAATATGCATGTGGCGCCCCTTGCAAATAGGAGTAACGAAATCAACTTTTTGAGGTCAAAAAATGCAGATAGCAAATTCTTTGTACTGTATGCAGATACTTTACAGCAGACTAAAGTATACCAATTTGGTCGCTGTTTATAAGCGACTAGCGTGTAACAGCGACTTTGTTCGAGTCGAATTAATCATTTGTAATGGTGATGATAAAGCAAAGCAAGAATTTCCATTAACATACAAACTGTATAAAATTTTGTCACATTTATGTCAGCATGAGAAAAAACAATATGACGATATTATTATATAACTTGGTAATATTTGAGGGATAGTTTCATCTCCTTGGAATTTGACTTTCGAAAAATCGGTTTGCCAAAAATAAGCTTTTTACGTCAAGCAGTTTAAGCAGAATCGTGGTTAATCAATTACCCAACTTTTTGGAACACCCTGTATGATTTTCTAAAAAATTTCAAAATATGTAAAAAAACAAATAAATTATGCTTGCCCAAGAGTTTTCCTGAAAGACCAACCGTTTTATACAAATATTGTAATATTTGAGGGGTGTTTTCACCGTCTTGGATTTGAGATTCGAGAAACCCCTCCTTATCGAACCTCTACACCCCACAGTCAATCCGTTTGTCAAAAATCAGCTTTAAACGTCAAGCAGTTTAAGCAGAATCGTGATTACTCAATGGTCATATTTTATGAAACACCCTGTATAAATTTATAAAATATCTTAAAATATGTAAAACAATAAAATAAAATATACGTGTTTAAGAGTTTTTCCGAAAAACTCACCGGTTTTTAAATAAAAAGTATTTTAATATTTGAGGGATAGTTTCACCCCCTTAGAATTCGAGTTTCGAAAAATCCCTTCTTATCGAACCTCTACACCCTAAAGTCAATCTGTTTTCCAAAAATCAGCTTTTTACGTCAAGCGCTTTAAGCAGGATCGTGATTAATCTATGACCAGATTTTTTGAAACACCCTGTATACATTTTTAAAAAATCTTAAAATATGTAAAAAAACAAAATAAAATATACGTGTGTAAGAGTTTTTCCGGAAACTTGACCGTTTTTAAATAAAAAATATTGTACTTATTGAGGGGTGGTTTCACCCTCTTGGAACTGGAATTTCGAAAAATCCCTTCTTATCGTACCTCTAAACCCTAGAATCAATCTGTATGCCAAAATTGAGCTTCTTACATTGAGTGGTTTGAGCAGGATCGTGATTAATCAGTATGTCAGCCCCTTAACGATTTTATATATTGGTATAGATTATAATACTTAAATTATCTTATATTTTGAGTTTTTTCAAAGTTTTACATTGAAGATATTTAATATTTCAAATATTTATTGATTGTAGATTGTATGGGAAGGGGGATATAAGTAACTTTCCGCGAATTTATAGATCTATTATTGGGGTGCAAGGTGTATTTGGGGTGTAAGAAGTGTATTGAAGCAATACATATAGCCTAACTTATCCAAAAGTCAACCTCACCTTCACGTGGAGCACCCTGTTTACACAAACGAGGCACTGACGTCCGAGTATAGGCGGTATAAAGCTATACAACCCTCAGACCTACCATCTTTCTGAGAAAGAGGAGAAGTAGACTACTCCTACCCGGCCACGTAGCACAAGGGAACTATCGTCTCAGTCCTCACTGTGCCATAGCCATCCCGTGCTACAGTTGCAGCCAAACTGTGCGGCAGCGTAACCGTCACAGTTGAACCCTTTTACGCAGCTAACACTCATCAAAGATGGAACAATCGAGTGGGACAAAATCATCGTCCGGAGGTAAAATACCCCCTCGATCGGATCTCCGGGAGGGGGTGCCTACTCGAGCGTATCATTGGAGAACTCTCAGCAGCGTCAATGTTTCACGTTTGCGGCGTGGAACGTCCGCACTCTCCTGGACAGGACAAACTCTAATCGATCAGAAAGAAGAACTGCTCTGGTCTCACAGGAACTCCACCGGCTAAGTTGTTGCCGCTCTTAGCGAAACCCCCTTTGCAGATGAAGGTAGTCTGACTGAGGAGCATTACACCTTCTTTTGGAAGGATCACCCTGCCACACACAGTAGAATTCATGGCATAGGCATTGCAGTCAAAAACGAAATCGCCACCAGTTTAACAGAAGTGCCCATTGGAGTCTCCGAACATTTCATGACCCAAAGGTACCCCATATCAGATAAAACTTACTTCAATATCATTAGTGCCTACGCTCCCACCCGAATCATCTTGCTTGGTGACTTTAATGCCCGAGTCGGTAATCAGCAAGAAATATGGCCAGACGTATTGGGAAAACATGGAATGGGAAACGTAAATAGCAATGGTGAACGTTTGCTAACAACATGCACAGAGTACAATCTTTGCATCACCAATACATGGTTCAAGCTGAAAGATAAGTTTAAAGGAAACATCCCAGATCAGGCCACTGGCATCAATTGGACCACGTCATCGTTCGAAGGAAGCATCTGAAAGATGTCAAACTTACGAAAGCCAGAATAGATGCCGAATGTCGTACTGACCACCGACTTGTAGTTTCGAAAATGAAACTTCAATTAAAACCCAAATATCCACACTGCAAAAAGCAAAACAACATGACCAGATTCAACGTACGGAGTCTAACGAACAACGACACCGCTAACGCCCTCCGGGAAGCCATCAGAGAAGCACTTCCACCGATAACCTCAATCTCGGAAGCTGAACAAGGCTGGGCACAATTGAGGGATGCGATTTATAATACCAACGTAGAAGTACTGGGAAAATCTAACAAAAGGAAACAACCAGACTGGTTTAACGAAAATCAACCACATATACAGGCTTTGTTGGAACAAAAGCATAGAGTACATCAAGCAGTCACTGCAAATCCACACAATCCAAGGCCGGTGGACAACTTTAAATCAGCCAACAACACGCTTCGAAGAAGCCTGCGCCAACTAAAGGGTAGCTGGTGGTCACAAAAAGCAAATCAGATTCAAGAGTGCGCCGCGTATCACGACTATCGTAAATTCTTCGAGGCTGTAAAAGAAGTATAAGGCCAAACTAAGAACGTAAGCTGCCCAATCAAGGCACAAAACGGTGAACTTCTAAAAGAGGAAGAGCAAATCAGAAATCGCTGGAAAGAGTATTACAGCCATGCCCTTAACCAAGACATCATCCCCAATATGCAAGCACTAAACACAATACCTCAGTATAACAGCATCGATGTATTAGATATCCCAATAACGGAACAGGAAATAAAGGCCTCCATAAAACAACTTCAAAACAACAAATCGGCTGGCTGTGACGCGATTTCACCGGAAATCTATAAGTGTGCAAGTGAATAACTTATTGGTCATCTTAAGGCTCTCTTCGATGTCATATGGGAAGGCATCAGATTGCGAAAACTACCGAGGAATTTCACTACTGGTTATTGGAGGAAAAGTTCTCGCAAAAATTATGTCAAACCGTCTTCACCCACATATAGAAAAAATCCTCCCAGAATCGCAAACGGGCTTTTGCACCAACCGCGGTACCGTTGATTCAATATTCTCCGTCCGCCAACTACAGGAAAAGGTAAAGGAACAGCAGAGTACTGTATGTTGCATTCATCGACCTCACGAAAGCCTTCGACTCTGTAAACAGAGATGCACTTTGGGCAATTATGCAAAAGTTCGGAGTGCCCAACAAATTTCTTACTGTGTGTAAAAGCCTCTATAACAACTCGAGAGTGTCACATCATGGATCACTGAGCGATCCCTTCCTGACAAATACAGGAGTTAGGCAGGGATGTGTCCTAGCTCTTCTCCTATTCAATATATTCATGGCAGCGCTCTCTATTATAGTGGACAACAAACTGTAGGAAAGAGGAATGTGTGTTAGATATAGGTATGGGACGGCGGTCTGTTCAACATAAAGAGACTCAGGGCAAAAACACGTATAAAATTTATCACAGAACTCCAATACGCTGATGACTGCGCTTTAGTTGCTAATACGTTACAGCAATTACAGGAAATGCTGAACACATATACCTGGGCATACGAGACTTTCGGCCTTAAACTGAACACCGATAAAACTAAAATCATGTGCACTCCCCCGGAAAATCATAACAGCGCTATAAAAATCGGAGGAGAACTATTGTAATATGTATCGGAATTTAATTACCTCGGGAGTTTGATTTCGGAAAAGGCAAATATCGACTCTGAAATTCAGCACAGGAAGTCCATAAACTGTTTCCATACATACTGGTGATTAATT